GCCTGTACCTTGTTTATATTCTAGGGCCCACAGCATTTGATTAATTTAGGGGACAGTCTGGTTACTAAAAGGAGAAAGCTTGTTACAATGTAGTATTGGCTTAAAGTGCCCAGGCTACACAAGGGGGCATTCTGTGCCTAGTACTTACAACCTCAGTAGGGATGACGTAAGAATCTGACGATCTAAATGTGAAAGCTGTGAGCTCAGAGCTGCTGTCTTAAAAGCTGCACAAATTCCTGTCAGTGCATCTTCTGCTTGCTTTATGTTACCTTGTCCATAAATCTTTTCCTTTCTTTTTATTCTTGTGCTAAACATTCTACTTTGAACCCAAATTGTTTTGCTTGGATTATAGAATTCTCCTTGGTCTTTTTACATTTTCCCCCCAATACAAAAACCTTTTATCCGACTAGGCCGCTCTCATGGAGGGAAGCTTGTAGTGGCTGAGAGCACAGAATCTGGAACCAGTATGTCTGGTCAAATCTTGGCTCTGTCATTTACTCACTGTGTGACCTAGACACCCTCTCTGTGTTTTAGTGTCCCCACTGAAAATGGGAACAATGACACGACTTTTCCTCATCGGTTTAGTGTGAGGATTAAATGAGTTAATACAAGGAGAAACTTTTAGACCAGTGCTTTACCTCCAGTTGTTAAGGCCCAAAACCTCAGAGTCATCTTCATCTCTCTGTCTCTCTCTGTCTCTCTCTCTGTCTCTCTGTCTCTCTGTCTCTCTCTCTGTCTCTCTGTCTCTCTGTCTCTCTGTCTCTCTCCCTCTCTCTCTCTCTCTCTCTCTCTCTCTCTCTCTGTCTCTCCCTCTCTCTCTCCATCAAAGGCATCACCTTAAAGTATAAACAGAATATGACCAGTTCTGTGCCCTTTTACACCATGTCTCAATTTCTGGAATAGCTTCCTATCTGAATCACTGCTTCTGCCCTCATCTCCTTATAATGCCATGTCTACATCACATTCAAAGTTATCTCAAAATAAATTAAATCATGTCACTCTTTTACTCAAAACCCTCCAATGGCTTCTGGTTTCACCCAGAGAAAAAGCCAAAGTCTTTGCAATGGTCTACAAGACCTTCCATTATCTGTCTCCCACCTGCTATTGTGCCTCTGTTCTCATGTCTTATGACTCCTTCCTTGGCTCCCTCTGCCCCAGTCACACTGACCTCGTGGTCACTGGACCAAGTGAAATACATTCCCATCTTAGGGCCCTTGGTTTAGCTTTTGCCTCTGCCCAATAAACTCCTTCCCAAGTAACTACTTGACTAAACCCCTCTCTGCCCTTCAGTCTGCTCAAATGTCACCTTCCGAGTGAGGCACACCTTGTTTACTACTACGATCTACACTTTGACCTCTCTTTATGTTGTTCTTTCTTTCTTTCCTTACATCACTTTTTACCTTGTAACATGCTATACAATGTACTCAGTTATATTTAAATTGTTTATTGACTCTCTTCTTCATTAGAAAGGAGGGCACCCTGTCCTCAAGGGTAGACATTCGGTCTGTTTTGTTCACTGCCGGTGCATAGAAGAACAATGGCTGGCATATTACAGGAGTGGAATGTCCCTCAACTGGAATTTGTCAGGTGTTTTTATGATTAGATTGAGAGTATTAGTTTTTAAAAGGAAGACAACAGAAGAAAAGTATTCTTATCATGTTACATCAAGGGTACATACTATCGATATGACTTTTCGCCGTTGCTATCAACCTTGACCACCTGGTTAAGGTAATGTTTCTCTTTTTTTCTCCCTTTTTATACTTTATTCTTTGGAAGGAGTCACTGTGCACCGACATACTTAAGGATTTCCCCTTAAAAGCAAAGTATCTATATAAATTATTTGGAATTCTTCTCTATGGGTAAAGTGCCTTTTCTCGTCTATTATTTAATCACTTATTTATGTATTATAATAGTATGGACTCATGAATATCTGTTTGATGCTTTGGGTTATAATCCAATATGACCTTATTTATTTTCTTGCTCACATTCTTCCAGCTTTGGCCATTCGGAGGCCATCTAGGTAGCTCCTGTGTTATTTTGATATATCCTCACTTCCTTACTTTCTGGTACTAAAAAGATGCTCCAGGCTCTTTTCATATTTCATATTTCATATATCCTCACTTCCTTACTTTCTGGTACTAAAGATGCTCCAGGCTCTTTTTTCATATTTCCTGCCCCAGTCTTAGAATCAGCCAATTCTGCAAGGAGTCTTGGTTCCTTTGATTGGAGAATAGTATTAGAAACCAAGAGCTGATGCTAGCTAGGTGTGCTAATTGCTACTGGAGTATTATTGCTTCTAGGCCTTCTCAGCTGACAGAGCAAGGAAGTATATGTGTGTATACTAATCAGCGTATATATACATATTTATAAATATTGCTGTATGTAACTTTGTATCTATATTAATACAAACATGAGTTCACAATGATATCTTCAATTCTAATCCATTACCATGTGGATCATTCTAAATGCCTTTGCCCCTTGTTTGTCTATAACTCCAACAGTGAGAAACCTGGCTCCCAACATCTGCCATTTATTTACTTAATGATTCAATTCTAGTATACATGTATAGTGGCTCCAGAATTCTTAACCTATACTCTATTAACTAGAGTTCCCTTTGTCTTCATTTACAAACCACTCATTCCCAGAATAACTTAGGTCTGCACTTTTCTCCCTCATCCTCTTCAATGAGTTTGTTTCATTAATTTGTAATACAGTTAGATGGTTTTTTTTGGTCACATTCTACATTCCATCTGGGACCCTCTCACCTTCTAAATGATTTTTGCATTCTTTAAGATTGACTCTTGATGCTATACAGCTCTTTGAGTTTTGACAAATGTGTGGTGGTGTCCACCATTACAGTATCAAATGGAACAGTTTCAATGCCCTAAAAATCCTCTGTACTTCACTGGTTCAACCCTTCCCTACCCTGAACTCCCAGCATCCACTGATCTGTTTACCATTTCTATAGTTTTACATATTCCAGAATGTCATATAAGTGGAATCATACAGTATGTAGACTTTTTAGATTAGATAGTTCCACTTATAAATATGCATTTAAGATTCCTCCATTTTTTGTTTATTTGTTTGGCTTAATAGCTCATTTCTTTTTACTGCTCAATTATATTCCGTTGTTTGGATGTACCACAGTTCTTTATTCATTTGCCTATCAAAGGACAGTTTGGGAGTGATCATGAATAAAACTGCTATAAACGTTCACATGCTGATTTCTTTATGGATATAGATTTTCAAATCAAGTGGGTAAATACATAGGAGCACAACTGCTGGATTATATAGTAAGACATATTTAGCTTTGTAAAAACAGCCAAAATGTTAGCCAAAGTGGCTGTACCATTTTGCAGTCCCACCAACAATGAATGAGGGTTCCTATTGCTCCGCATTCTCAGCAGAATTTGATATTTACAGATTTTTAGATTTTAGACATTCTAAGAGGTGTATAGTATTATCTTATTATCACTTTAATTTGCATTTTCCTCACTACCAATGGTTTCCAGTATAATCTAATTCTTTTTATTCCTCACATGGAATGCCTTTTATTTTCTGATGTTTGCATATTTCCGTACATTCTC